TAAACACTCCCGCATCAAGATCAAAACTCTCCCCTCTCAGGATCTAAACACTCCCGCATCAAGATCAAAACTCTCCCCTCTCAGGATCTAAACACTCCCGCATCAAGATCAAAACTCTCCCTCTCAGGATCTAAACACTCCCGCATCAAGATCAAAACTCTCCCTCTCAGGATCTAAACACTCCCGCATCAAGATCAAAACTCTCCCCTCTCAGGATCTAAACACTCCCGCATCAAGATCAAAACTCTCCCCTCTCAGGATCTAAACACTCCCGCATCAAGATCAAAACTCTCCCTCTCAGGATCTAAACACTCCCGCATCAAGATCAAAACTCTCCCTCTCAGGATCTAAACACTCCCGCATCAAGATCAAAACTCTCCCCTCTCAGGATCTAAACACTCCCGCATCAAGATCAAAACTCTCCCCTCTCAGGATCTAAACACTCCCGCATCAAGATCAAAACTCTCCCCTCTCAGGATCTAAACACTCCCGCATCAAGATCAAAAGCTCTTCCCTATCAGGATCAAAACGCTCCCCTCTCAGGATCAAAACACTGTCAGGATGAATCAGTGTGTATGGTGATTGGGTGTGAGTGATATTCACATGTTGATATTCAATTATTCCTCATGAAAAAGTGATTTAGGTATTTATTACATTAGTAACAGCTGCAATCCATGAGATCTCGTCACGTCATCGTGAATGTGTCTTGTCCTAAAAATCCATGTTATATATAACATAAGTAAAGCAACATTCTTTTGAAATATCTGTAAAATATATCAGCAGGTCTGGCCACTGATATATTCTATATTACCACTGGGAGTGTACTGGCGCTCCATCGTGTACTGCCGTTGTAATTCCTTTTCAGTAATATGTAACGCGTTGTAATCCTAGTTAATTTTACAACACAACAATATATGGATGAAGAACTTCTTTATTACTGTGACAGCGACGTTACGGTGTAGGTTCTAAAACCGTTATCAAGCAAGTCGTCCAGCCATATAGTGTTATCTTTCGCTACTGCTCTAACTTCTAAACGCCTCTTGAAGAAGTTATCAGTTGATAGACGTGTTACAGTTATTTGCTGTTTGTTGCCTTCACGCTGAAGTCATTTACGTACAGATTTCTGGATAAATGTAGTGTTTCAATCTGGAAATCGACAATAAAACTATTATTTATGTCCTTCTATGGAAGCTTCCATGTCTGTTTCGTATCCTTCAGTTCATTTTCCCACTTTGTGTCTGATATGTCAGTTAATTCACAACATTAGTCCCATTACGACAATAAGTTACCGTATCTTGTACTGGGTCATTACTCACACGCTAATCTAATATTATCTCGTCGAGATATAATGTCATGTGAAACGTTGATATGATCATTAACACAATGGTTTAATGAGTAATTGACCTTTACAGTCTTGTCATGTTCCCATATAATGTAAACATTTCAGAATGCTATTTCCCACTGCTTCAGCATTCGTGCCATAGCTCATTTCATATGTTTCTCATGACAATTGCAGTGCAGATAACGTTACTTAATGTGGTATACGACTCGCATACTGACACGTCGCCTCCACATGGGGCATAGCAGGACGAGGGTTAATTGGAGGAAGATATGGTGATATCTTCTGTGTATGGAAACCTGCAGTGACACTGTCGCGTCCTCGTCATGTCTACATTTGTTTAACGGAAGGGTGAAAATCGCGAGAGTGGGCGTGACCTTTACAGACTTTACAAAATTCCGCGCTTTCCATACCAGACATCCTCTGTAATTGTGAATACAAAAGGGTTGGCCTTAACTCGGGCCAAGAAAAGTCGGGCCTGGCCGGGCCACCGGGTACTACTAAAAATCGATTGCAGAATATTAAAACGAAATCTGCACATCTGGGTATAGATACACTTCCTGCTTTCCCAAATGTATAGTTTGATTGAAAATGTACAGTTAACAATGAGTTTTAGACCATCCCATACAAAACCCTTTCCACGTCCTTAAATAATTTCTGGCAGAGTCGGTTGTACAATTTTGACTTTATTATGAGCATGTATTTATGAAACACAATCCAATAGTGTATATCCATATTCTGCCCCACCCGTGGAACACGTTGTAGATGCCAGCAATGTTATGGGATGTGTGTCACTAAATTGTAGTTAATGAGTGAATATATACTATAAAACATGTATGGGATATTCAATAGAACAGGTGTCACAACTATTGATATTTTATATCTTTAATGAGCGAAATATCTTAACAGTGTAACATAGACATCTGACTGTGATTTGCATTGGTCTATGAACGTCAGATGACCATAGATTTTGTTAGATGAATGGCCAAAGCGACCGAGTTTCCATCACTTCATTTGTCATAAAAAGTCAAACTTATTAATATCCGCCTGTATTTTCAAAACAATCACGGATTCGACGAGGCATACACCTTAAGGTGCGTTTTCACGGTGCGACTTGCAACACAATTGGACCGCGAGAACAACCAAGTCGTGCCGATTTGAAATCACATACAACTACATTTGTAGTCGCAGCCAAGTTGTAATACATAAGATTTGTCATAATTCCTACTACATGTCGCAAGCTCTCGAACCGAACGATTTATAGGTTTTATAGGTTTTTACTTGTCACGGGAATGTTTATGGAATCTTGCGCCTAAGAATCCAGTTGCGGACCCACACCGATTTAGGCTTTCTCTTCTTCTCTTTCAGTGACTTCGACATGTAGACTGACATTAACGCTAGCGTATCTTCTTCTCTCGACGAATCCATGTTGCCGAATCATACGTGAGAATCTCGCGTTCTCACGGTGCGACTGTAGCATACAACTTGTAGTAACAACGAAGATCGAAACGACTTTGTAATTTGTGTACTTTTAAGTCGCTTAAAACTCGTATCTCGCGAGATTCTCACGTATGACACCGTCATGAATCGGTGTGGGTCCGCAACTGGATTCTTATGCAAAACACTAGTCTGTCATACAGACCCTCAAGTAAATATACCCAAGAAAGCCCTTACAAGTCTAGAAAATGTGGCAAGTCTAGATTTCCACAGACCCTGATGCAAATAAATCCAAGATAGCCCTCACAAGTCTAGAAAATGTGGCAAGTCTAGATTTCCACAGACCCTGATGCAAATAAATCCAAGATAGCCCTCACAAATCTAGAAAATGTGGCAAGTCTAGATTTCCACAGCTTCAGGGTCCCTGAAAATGAAGAAAGTCTCATGGCTCCTTTTCATTATATATCATTTTTTTAACAATGAACTTTTTTTCTGTAAAATATGTTCATTTCATAGACTAGTTGTTATTCTAGCAGAACACGACTGGAGCGTTTAATTCGCTTCTTCGAGAGCTTGAACAGGAAGATCCAAGATCACTGAAGAATTTTCTTCGTATGGACAAGTCAAATTGTGACATTTTGTTTCAGTCGAGTCTCCGACATGATAGCAACATAAACAATGGCGACGTCACTCTGAGGTGGACACAGGTCTAAGCGATTTGTTTGGTTGAGAGATTGCGACATGTTGCCGGAATTAGGACAAATACTGTCTTACAACTCGGCTGCGACTAGTTGTATGCGATTTGAAATCGTTACTATTTGGGTGTTCTAACGTTGCAACTGTGTTGCATGCTACACGCTGTTATCTCAAGTCGCACCGTGAATCAAACGTTAAATGTGAGCTTGGTTCATTTTATCAAGTTATTCCTTCCAGGTTCGTAGAGCGTGGTCGGTGGGTTTTTTTCGGTGAGTGATTCCTTTTCAGTACTTTGTGTAACCCTAGGTAACCAAATGCACACTGGACATTTATTGGTACAGAAAGGGTTGTACGAAAAGTGCTGGATAAAACATATCCAATCCTAGTTGATTTAACATTACAATTGTGAACTGTCTCAAGGTTCTTTGTTTTTGTTGTTGTAGTTTGTTGGTACAGATTTCTGGGTTAACTTGACGTTTCAACTTGGAAATCAACTCGTAACAATACACATCACGATGTTGTTTAGGTCTACACAACTGGGATACGATGACACGTGTCAACTAAGTCAGCGAGCCTGACCACCCGATCTCATTGGGCGCCTCTTACGACACGCATGGGTTACTGAAGATCAATACTAACCCGGGTCTTCACGGGTTTAAGGAGAAACGTTACTTGTGGCATAGTGATATTTCATCCTGACATTGAACCAGAAGGCCTGATGGGCATTCTGTGCAAATATGATACAAGAAGGTTTCTTCTTATCTTTGTAACAGGTTCATCCTGATTATCATATTTCGTCTGCCGTAACAATCCTCGGGCTAGGCATTTCACCGTCGGATTGTGATATCCCCTACAGCAAGATAGGACACGTGGAATTACTGGTCAAACGGCCTAAATCCAGCAAAAACACATATTACTTTTGCTATCTGTATCGAAGAGACGAAACGGGTATCCATTTGATTTCTCTGTTTACTTGTATGTACATATTGAATATTACAATAATTCACGTTAGATACCAAAATGACGAAATGAGTGAACCTTCAATGGTACCTTAGTTTTTACCAGCCTCCAACACAAAAGGTTCTTCGTAACTACAGGTCACGAACTTGCACGCGTATTTTTGTTATTATTCTTGCAAGGGCTCCGTCATGTGACCTAAATAGTCAGGACAAGCGTGCCACATGCATGTACTAATCTCGTCCTATCAGAGAGTCACAGAAGGATCAGATAACGCTGTACAGGTGGAGACAGATGTGACACAGACTAAACAGACCAAACACAACTGTTGGCATGACGCATGAATCCCTGTCAGGATCAAGGACAATCATACAATCTAAGTTTTTCCACACATCCTACACTTATCAACAAGAAATAGTTCTCGTCACCTTGAAAGCAGATAGTGACATACCTATCTGTCCACTGTTCCCTATTTTGACATGTACTATTATCCATTCCCCTGTACTTTTCAAGTGAACGAGTGACTTGTATTTAAGTAAGATAAGACAAAGTATCATTCCAGCCCAATTCCGTATGCGTAGACGGAGGTAGGGCTTAGCTTATCTCTGACATGGAAAGGTTTCATGCGATCAGCTCTGGACATTACATAATGGTTTCCACCATGTTGATGGGTCTGGGCTTGCTGCTGATGGTTGGCACAGCAGGCAGTGCTATCCCTGTGACCATCTATCCCCAGTTCTACTCCCAAGCAGGAAGGGTGAAGTTTGAGACTGGGCGCTGGTCAGGCCATAACGGTGTGGACATCGATAAATACCTTCAGCCCAACGTTGACATTGGAACTCACAGCGGGAGATGGATCAGTGCAGACAGAGGTCAGGAGATCTTTCAAAAGGTACGTATTGTTGTCATAAGCACTTACTGCTTGAGTGGGAACCGCGACCGACTAAGACGCTGGAGTGAGTGAGTGAGTTTTACGCCGCTTTTAGGAATATACTAGCAATGTCGCAGCGGGGGACACCAGAAATGGGCTTCACACATTGTACCCATGTGGGGAATCGAATCTGGCTCAGCGAACGCTTTAACCACTAGGCTACCCCACCGCCCCTCATCTACTAAAGGATCATTTCATTTACGTAGTTGATACTTAAATTTGCGTATATGATATCATACGTAGATGGTGCTTAAATGTACGTATATGATATTATAATCCGCCTAGGATACGATCAAACTACACGTCGTATGCTACACGTTGTTACTACAAGTAACGCACCTTTACACACTTTCAATCCTGTTCGCGCATGATGTTAAATGTGATTAGATATACCGTTCAAATGCGACGCCTTAAAATTGTTAAATCACAATCTTTCTGTATATGGCTACGTGCGTGAGTGCTTGTCTGGGCCAGTGCCGGTTTTATCACAGTGTTAGCACACCGAGATACCATGTAGCAGTTTAACAAGGGTACCCCATTCAGACACAACATACTGACTCCCATAATATCGAGCTCCAGACGGAGTAACTACATGTCGGTCTCGTATGCCACTGACCTTCCGCTGTCTGGGCAGACGCTGTATGCACCTCACCAAGAGGAACAACTGACCTTGAACTTGATCCTCGAAAGTTGGGCCCCCATTCGTAATGATTTTGGTTTCCAAGCACAATTTTCAAACCGTGATTGTTTTTTGGGGTTTTTTGGCCTGGTTTGTCAGCACAATGACTCTTCGCTCTCTCCTCTCATGTTAATATAAGGGTAATGCTATTTTTGAGGGCATTATCATTTGCAGAAGCCCGAGGTCTTCCATTAACTGCCCGACGAAGGAGGGCAGTTGAAAAGACCGAGGGCTTCTGCAAATGATAATGTCCTCAAAAATAGCATTACCGTTATTATTGCTAAACTACATGGAATTTGTGTTGAAAAGAAAAAGGAAACAATGAAGGAATTTGACTGTAAGTTTACCCAAATCAACTTCTGACGGGGTTGACTGTCCGAATGCAATTACGTCATCGAACAATTCAAGTGACGTCACAACAGAAAGTGACGATATTCGACCTTGGCCTTTGACAAGACCATAGCCTGCAACATGTCAAACTATGTCAGTGTTCGGTTTTGGTCCATCAACAGCCTTAATAGTGCAATTGTTAAGGTTAGCACCAACATGAAAGCCATTATTACTGCTATTTAAAGCGGGAATTCGGGTTGTTTTGACTTGTTTGACCCAGAATATCTGCCAGTCGAAAGCCAATTAATGTCGAATGAACCGTAAGCCCACGCACCAAGTATGACGTCACTTGACAACAGAACTGATAGTGGCCCGTCGTTAAGGTTGAGCTGTCCAATATCATTTGCAGCGGCCCGCAAAATTTTGATAATGGGAGGGCCGTTTCATGATAATTCCATGTATTTTAGCTATAATCTGTTTTAGTGACATTCTGTTCCAAACAGTATAAAACAAAACTCTTTCGTTTTGTTTGAAATGGCTGCTGTGCCTATTGCATTCATCATTTATATTGTGGGCCTGAGACTCCATTACTGAAATATAGACATTGAATTATTTACGTCTTGACTAAGTATGGCTAAAATGTTGACAAATGCCAGCACCAATGCCATTTCGAACATGGGAAAACTGTTTCATTTCATTGTCCAGTGCACAGAGGATCCTAAACGCCCTGGTTACCCCGATCCTACATACTTCTGGGTCCGACGGGATGCCATATCACAGAAGTACATCCACAACATCAACAAATATGGCCGTAGCCCTTACAGAGTCATTTCATTCAATGGTGAGAAGTATGGCTATATATGACCTAATACATGCTTACACATCGAGTCCCCTGTTACAGAACCTTGTTTCATTATTAACTTCCCTGATTAACATTTACTTATCAAAACAGCGTGACACTAAACATCCTCTTTGATCTTTTCTTTGTGATGCTTAGTGAGGTGAAGATCCGGGTCAGAATTGGTCAACCCATGCTTGTCGGAAGAAGCGACTAACAGGATCGGATGGTCAGATTTGCTGACTTGGTTGACATGTGTCACCTCATCCCAATTGCGCAGATCGATGCTCATGCTGTTGATCACTGGATTCTCTGGTCCAGACGCGATTATTTACAGAAGGTCGCCATATAGCTGGAATATTGCTGAGTGAGGCTTTAAACAGAAAGCAAAGCAATCAAAGCAAACCTTAGCAAGGTTACCGGAATCAGTTAAAGGAGGTCGTTTTACTCACATATTCTATTGCCAGTTTAAAACTACAACACTAGCAGTTGCAGGCAAATGTGTGATCAATGCCTATGTGTAGTTTCATGTCACCATCAACAGAACACTCACATACATATACAAGTATAGATGCATATTTTCAATTGCTATATACCATCAACTCAAGATGTGATAACTATGTTTGACCGTCAAGATGGGTAGATCATTGTTCTGTCACTACTCCACTGTTTCATCATCCAGGATCCAACATCCATCAGAAGGATTCATTTATACGCCCTTAAATTACTGAAAGTATCTCCAAACTTCCAGTCCAACGCATTCACTCTTAATTGATTTTTCTCAGGTTTGTATTGGCCGGACTGGATGCCGAAAACAACTTACGGAGGCAAGTTTCCCCAGAACATGGACGCCGCCTCCGAGTTCATGCTTCTGTTTATGGAAGCAGTGAACGGTTCTGCTGGAGGCTTTCCACCACTACTCGAGGTCTACAACGAACCGGGCGCTGACTACAAATATCTCCACTGGGACACAGTCATTGCCTACCATCAGGCTGTCGCAAAGAAGCTGAAAACCAAGTTCCCTGCTCTTAAGGTGGGAGGTCCGACCAACACAGGGACGAGTTCCCACTCGGACAAGGACGACTTTAAGATTTGGAAACGTCTGGCCGACTTCATGAACTTGTCCCTCACCGACTTGGACTTCTTCTCCTTACATGACTACAGTCACCTCAAGGTTGCTGGCGGCAGGTACAACTTTTACGGCAGCAACCCCGCCAGGCTTGGGGCATTCATGGACTTGGTGGAGAACTATGCACACGTTAAAAGCGGAAAGGATGTGCCGTTAGTCATCAGTGAGTATGGTCTCACGTTGATCATTGGTATAAATGACCAGAAACCAAGCACCTTTGCTGACTGGGCATACGTCTACCAGCACAATGCTCATATGTTCACCTACCTGGGCTACAGGGACGTTATTGACTCAGCTATTGCATTCCTTATATCCTACACGGACTTAAAAGGACAAGCAAGCATCAATTACAGGTGGGTGTGTATTTTCTATGGTCACTCTAAACAGGTTTCATATGAGGGTATACGAGTCTATAACAAGGTTCCGATATTTTAGAATTCTCAATGCTATTTGGTTAGTTAAAGCCATATGACATAACACTGTTTCATTGTTGAGTACAATTACGGGTTATCTGCCCCTGACAATGCTGTAAGGCCCTCGCCAAAGTATAGATCTTACACCCTTCGTTTTCTCGGGGGCATTATACTCTCATAATTAACAATGAGTAGAATTCTGCTTTAGGGACGTAAGCACCATACATGGTCTGTGTCAACATTATGACATTGTTCTTCCCTAAGTAAACTGACACCTGGTGAGGGGCGATTGGGTAGCCTAGTGGTTAAAGCGTCCGCTCGTCACGCCGAAGGCCCGGGTCGATTCCTCACATGGGTGTAATGTGTGAAGCCCATTTCTGGTGTCCCCCGCCGTGATATTGCTTGAATATTGCTAAAAGCGGCGTAAAACCAAACTCACTCACTCACTGACCCCTGGTGACATTAGGCTAATCAGATAATTGCAGGTAAAACGCAACATATTTTCTTACTCCGTTTGGTATATATTTTCCTTTGACAGTCTGCGGGAAAATCCTAATTTATCAACAATTACTTTTTAAGAATGACGGTGTGATGTCGCGACGCTTGACAAATTGTAATGAACATACGGTATTGCTAAATACTTATATTATATTCATCCAATCGCCAGTTGGGAATGCAAAATTCAAATAGGCAATTGTTTTAATACAAGATGCATTACATCCTGATGTACATTTGCTTATTCCAGCCTGTTTGAACGTAACGGCACTGAGAGAACAGTTTCTGATGCCTTCAAGTTTTGGAAGAGTTTCCATGACAACCAGAAGTTCCTGAGAGTTGATAACGCCCATGACGGCAGTGAGAAGACGATAGCCTCACACGCTGTCGCCAACGTTGCAACCCGGGAGGTGACGGTGCTCCTCCACAACTACGACAAGGCACAAGCTACAGTCAACCTCATCTTCCCTAATAACTGGCTTAAACCATCATCTGCCACTTCAACCTGCTTCTATCGGAAACTTCCCAACAACGTAGCAGTATTCCAGCCCAACAAGACCGTCCACATCAGTCACAATCAGATCCTTCTGGAACCGGAATCAAGCTGCTTCTACAGCTTCAAATCAGGCTATAATTTTGGGAATGCGCAGACGATAAATGAAGTTAAGTATTACGGGGCAGCGGTGGTCGTGCCGATCCAAAACAACACCGTAAACACCCAGGTTGGCATTCCGTACCTTGGCAACATCAAAATGGCGCGTCTTAGAGTTGCTGTTAGTGTCAAGGACAGGTCTTCCTCAACTAAACCCCGCACGGTTTCCATAAACGGCCATGTTCTGACGTCATACCTGTTCCTGTCTGACGCAGCTAGCCAAGGTTTTGAAACGACGTTGTGGGAGGTGTACGAATATAACGTCCCTGTCGCTGCTTTGAAGGAACATCACAACACTGTTGTGTTTACCTTTGGCCATATTTCTGGTTATGTGTCAAGCGTCGCAATCATAGTTGGTCGTTAAAACGTATATATGAGAACTGTGATTGCTTTCTTATGTCTTTTAAGCACACAACTCGAAATGCTGTTCTTTCTTCTAGACCGTATAGAATTTCTAAACATTATAGATTGATTTAATTGAATAAATGTATATAACGGTTTAGTTACCCATTGGTTGTGTGTTAGACTTAACGCTGATGATGTAGAAAGAGACGGACATCCTGACACATACAAATTATAGGTATTATGGGTATTTTACATGATCACAGCAACAGCCACTATTTGCATTGATACACAGTTGGTATTCTTCATGCGGTACTATTGTGAGCGAGCAGTGGGGTTCGGGTGGTCAGGCACACTGACTTGTTTGACTCATGGCATCGCATCGCAATTGCGTAGATCGATCCTCATGCAATTGATCACTGAATTGTCTGGTCCAGACTGGATGATATTCAAACCGCCGCCATATATACTATACCGCGTTGATTCGACAAAATTGTAACAGAAACCATACAAAGAACACAAACATCCAATTGACGGTACGCTCTTGTGGCTTCTGATGCCACTGAGCCTAGGTGCGACAGGGTGATGAAAGTATCCACATTATACGCCAGTAGAACAAGCGATTAAGTTCGTTTCGAGATGCGGAAATCAGATATGAGAGAACAAATGCTGAGCTTAATCGCAGAATTTAGACGCGTCGAAGCTGACTGGCCTTTGATGAATTTTAGCTGAAGAGTGAGTATGATTTTACGCCGCGTTTCGCAATATTCCAGCAGTATCACGACGGGGGACCCAAGAAATGGGCTTCACACATTTTACCCATGTGGGAAATCGGGTCTACGTCGTGACTAGCGAACGCTTCAACCACTAGGCTACCACACCGCCCCTTTAGCTGAAGAGACCACCTCCTGAGTTGTCCACAGATCTTACTCAGAGAGGTATTGTATGGGAGTGAAAGATCTGTTTATAACGAGACCGTTAAAAATCAGCTTTTTCTGAGATGTCAAACTAAAAGAATTCATTGGCTTCTGAGAAGTTTCACCCCTCCAGGGTGTTAAAGAACTATCCTGCAGACCCTGGCGCTGAAACCTTGAACTTTAAGAATTTAATCGTAATTGAACCTTTCCTTCAGTTGTGTGCTCGTTTGGATATTCTTCCTCTTTCGTGTGATACCTTTTCGTCCATGCAAAGAATTGGCACACAGAAATATCTCAAAGGGTCACGTGGATGTCGGAAACGGTTTTGTCTATGGTCAAAGGGAGATAATTACGTCCACTCTCCTACCCAGAGTTCCATGCGGCAAGCCAGCAAGTATGATGTTATGTTAAATCATCACTGTGCCGGAGTGTGAATTACGTCCATATAAGAATTAACTCCCTTCCCTTGTCTCCGCGCAGTATCTCCTGTGAAACTTCGCACACGGCATGTGTCTTCAATCAAAGGGAGCTAACTGCGTATAGCAAACTACGGGTTATACCCCTTGTCCCAACGGGAGGTAAGTCTGTTTCGCAAATAGAAAAGACATGTACAGTTACTTCCCTTTGACAATCAACGAAATGTAACTCAATTCCAATAGAAGAGGTTTTATCAGTTTCGTTCGTAGGTAACGGACCCGAATAAGAGAGAAACCGTCACTGCGCAGCACATTAAACCACACCCGTGTCCAACCACCATGTATTCAACAGACGACAAAACCATTAAATTAGATCAGTGCAAGAAAACTCTTATCGAGTTGTCTCTCTTTACCGAAAAAGCTCCCTCCCACTGTGAAATCTCCGTGTTCTGCGTGAATTAACAATCAACTGCTCGAATGAATATTCTTCCTCCAACAAATGGAATGCATCGCAAACAACTTGTGGGAATCGACAGTGAATTTGTCTATAGTCAAGGAAGGTTATCGCTTACTACAGAGAGTTACTGAAGGTTCAGAGAACACTGTTTACATGGAAACAGATGGTTATACTGACAGTTGATTTATACTCACTGTCGAATTGTTTCTTCAACATGCTGGCACTTGTCCGCCATTTTACCTGTCGTAAGTCCGACTACGTCACAATTCTTACTGTAGACTTAAGTTAACTTAGAGAGAATGCTCTTGATGTGTGACGGAGCGTTTTTAATACAATACCTTTTCCTAGCTGTATTCAATAAACTATGTATTTACTAAGCACCACAAAACCACCAACAAACTTTTCATTTATACATATTCCTGAACAAAGTATGTACATAAAAATCACAAAGATATATATACATGTGATGCGACCTCAGCCTGGCAGTGGCACCAATAAGTGTCTGGGGGTTGCCAATAACAGTTAGACAGGTTTATTCGTATACATGTGGCCTAAAGGCCAATAGTACAACATGTGCACAATGATTTGGTATATTTGCAGTGCTTCCTTGCCAGTGAAGTGTAAATATGTAAGCAAACAAAACAAGCCAGTGTTTGGGAGAACCTATAGGTTTTTGACATTAAGATGATTTTACTTTATGAGGAATATATGGTTTAACAACAGAGATAGTTTAACTTCTCCATTCTTCAATAAGAGAATTGTTTCCGGGAGCACAGGGTATAACGTCAATGTGTAGCTCGTTCGAAATGTTTTTCCCAGAGTTGTTTTTCGATATGACCAGGGTGCTGTTGTACAAAGCAACCTTAGCCTAAGATCGCTTTGTACAACGGCACCAAGGCTGGCAACGCCATACAGAGTGTGGCCTGTGCACTAGGTAATTGTATGTACATATTGAATATTACAAAAGTTCACGTTAGATACAAAAATGACGAAATGAGTGAACCTTCAATGGTACCTTAATTTTACCAGCCTCCAACACAAAACGGTTCTTAGTAACTACAGGTCACGAACTTGCACGCGTATTTTTGTTATTATTCCTGCAAGGGCTCAGTCATGTGACCTAAATAGTCAGGACAGGCGTGCCACATGCATGTACTAATCTGGTCCTATCAGAGAGTCACAGAAGGATCAGATAAGGCTGTACACGTGGCGACAGATGTGACACAGACTAAACAGACCAAACACAGCTGTTGGCATCACGCATGAATCCCTGTCAGGATCAAGGACAATCATACAATCTAAGTTTTTCCACACATCCTACACTTATCAACAAGAAATAGTTCTCGTCACCTTGAAAGCAGATAGTGACATACCTATCTGTCCACTGTTCCCTATTTTGACATGTACTATTATCCACTCCCCTGTATTTTTCAAGTGAACGACTGACTTATATTTAAGTAAGATAAGACAAAGTATCATTCCAGCCCAAGTCCGTATGCGGAGACGGAGGTAGGGCTTAGCTTATCTCTGAAATGGCGATCACATTTACATAATGGTTTCCACCATGTTGATGTGTCTGGGCTTGCTGCTGATGGTTGGCACAGCAGGCAGTGCTATCCCCGTGACCATCTATCCCCAGTTCTACTCCCAAGCAGGAAGGGTGAAGTTTGAGGCTGGCCGCTGGTCAGGCCATAACGGTTTGGACATGGATAAAACCCTTCAGCCCAACGTTGACATTGGAACTCACAGCGGGAGATGGGTCGGTGCAGACAAAGGTCGGGATATCTTTCGAAAGGTACATATTGTTGTCATAAGCACTTACTGCTTGAGTGGGAACCACCAGTCGAGTAAGACGCTGGAGTGAGTGAGTGAGTTTTACGCCGCTTTTAGGAATATAATAGCAATATCGCGGTGGGGAACAGCAGAAATGGGCTTCACACATTGTATCCATGTGGGGAATCGAATCGGGTCTTCGGCGTGACGAGTGAACGCTTTAACCACTAGGCTACCCTACCGCCCCTCATCTACTACAGGATAATTTCATTCACGTTGTTGATACTTAAATGTACGTATATGATATCATACGTAGATGATACTTAAAATTACGTACATGATATACGTAGATGGTGCTTAAATGTACGTATATGATATCATACGTAGATGGTGCTTAAATGTCGTATATGGTATTATAATGCCTACTACGATCAAACTACATGTCGTATGCGACATGTTGTCACTACAAGTCGCACCGTGAGAACGCATGATGTTAAATGTGATTAGATATACCGTTCAAATGCAAAGCCTTAAAATTGTTAAATCACAATCTTTCTGTATATGGCTACGTGCGTGAGTGTTGCTCTGACCAGTTTTACATGTGCGGTCTCGTATGAGATGACCTTCATGCTGGTAGTGTAACTGGGATACCCTCACCAAGAGGACAACATACTGACTCCAATTGTATCCAAGCTCCCCACGGAATGATAATATGTCGGTCTCGTATCCGTATGACGCTGCCGTAGACGGAACTACTGACCTTCGCTCTCTGTCTCGGCAAACGCTGTATCCACCTGACCACGGAAGAAAACAAAACAACTTTCGATCTTTGAACTAGATCCTCGCTGTTGGGCATTGCATTCATCATTTTATATTGTGGGCCTGAGACTGGTGTGTCATAACAATGACTTATTTGCCCTCTCCTCTCTATTTTACCTGTTTTACAAATGTCAGCACCAATGCCATTTCGAACATGGGATACCTGTTTCATTTCATTGCCCAGTGCACAGAGGATCCTAAACGCCCTGGTTACCCCGATCCTACATACTTCTGGGACCGACGGGATGCCATATCACAGAAGTACATCCACAACATCAACAAATATGGCCGTAGCCCTTACAGAGTCATTTCATTCAATGGTGAGAAGTATGGCTTATATATGAACTGATACATGCTTACACATCGAGTCTCCTGTAACAGAACCTTGTTTCATTATCAACATCCCTGATTAACATTTACTTATCAAAACAGCGTGACACTAAACATCCTCTTTGATCTTTTCTTTGTGATGCTTAGTGAGGTGAACATCCGGATCAGAATTAGAATTGGTCAACCCATGCTTGTCGAAAGAACCGACTAACAGGATCGGATGGTCAGATTCGCTGACTTGGTTGACATGTGTCACCTCATCCCAATTGCGCAGATCGATGCTCATGCTGTTGATCACTGGATTCTCTGGTCCAGACGCGATTATTTACAGAAGGTCGCCATATGGCTGGAATAATGCTGAGTGCGGCGTTAAACAGAAAGCAAAGCAAGCAAAGCAAACCTTAGCAAGGTTACCGAAATCAAAGCGTTTTACTCTACATTTTCTATTGCCAGCTTGAAGCCAACCTTAGCAAGGTTACAGTTAAAGGAACTCCACAATTGCCAGCTTGAAAGCAAACCTTATAGGTTAGGTCCGGAATCAGTTAAAGGAGGTCGTTAAACGTTATACTCACATTTTCTATTGCCAGCTTGAAGCAAACCTTAGCAAGGTTACCGGAATCAGTTAAAGGAGGTCGTTTTACTCACATTTTCTATTGCCAGTTTGAAGCAAACCTTAGCAAGGTTACCGAAATCAGTTAAAGGAGGTCGTTTTACTCACATTTCTATTGCCAGTTTGAAACTACAACACTAGCAGTTGCAGCCAAATGTGTGATCAATGCCTATGTGTAGTTTCACGTCACCATCAACAAAACACTCACATACATATACAAGTATAGATGGATATTTTCAATTGCTTTATACCATCAACTCAAGATGTGATAACTATGTTTGACCGTCGAAGTGGGTAGATCATTGTTCTGTCACTACTCCACTGTTTCATCATCCAGGATCCAACATCCATCAGCAGGATTCATTTATACGCCCTTAAAAATACTGAAAGTATCTCCAAACTTCCAGTCCAACGCATTCACTCTTAATTGATTTTTCTCAGGTTTGTATTGGCCGGACTGGATGCCGAAAACAACTTACGGAGGCAAGTTTCCCCAGAACATGGACGCCGCCTCCGAGTTCATGCTTCTGTTTATGGAAGCAGTGAACGGTTCTGCTGGAGGCTTTCCACCACTACTCGAGGTCTACAACGAACCGGGCGCTGACTACAAATATCTCCACTGGGACACAGTCATTGCCTACCATCAGGCTGTCGCAAAGAAGCTGAAAACCAAGTTTCCTGCTCTTAAGGTGGGAGGTCCGACCAACACAGGGACGAGTTCCCACTCGGACAAGAACGACTTTAAGATTTGGAAACGTCTGGCCGACTTCATGAACTTGACCCTCACCGACTTGGACTTCTTCTCCTTACATGACTACAGTCACCTTAAGGTTGCCGGCGGCAGGTACAACTTTTACGGCAGCAACCCCGCCAGGCTTGGGGCATTCATGGACTTGGTGGAGAACTATGCACACGTTAAAACCGGGAAGGATGTGCCGTTAGTCATCAGTGAGTATGGTCTCACGTTGATCATTGGTATAAATGACCAGAAACCAAGCACCTTTGCTGACTGGGCATACGTCTACCAGCACAATGCTCATATGTTCACCTACCTGGGCTACAGGGACGTTATTTACTCAGCTATTGTATTCCTTATATCCTACACGGACTTAAAAGGACAAGCAAGCATCAATCACAGGTGGGTGTGTATTTTCTATGGTCACTCTAAACAGGTTTCATATGAGGGTACAACGAGTCTAACAACGTTCCGATATTTTAGAATTCTCAATGCTATTTGGTTAGTTAAAGCCATATGACATAACACTGTTTCATTGTTGAGTACAATTATGGGTTATCTGCCCCTGACAATGCTGTAAGGCCCTCGCCAAGGAATAGATCTTACACCCTTCGTTTTCTCGGGGGCATTATACTTTCATAATTAACAATGAGTAGAATTCTGCCTTAGGTACGTAAACACCATACATGGTCTGTGTCAACATTATGACATTGTTCTTCCCTAAGTAAACTGACACCTGGTGAGGGGCGATTGGGTAGCCTAGTGGTTTAAGCGTCCGCTTGTCACGCCGAAGGCCCGGGGTTCGATTCCCCACATGGGTGTAATGTGTGAAACCTATTTCTGGTGTTCCCCGCCGTGATATTGCTGGAATATTGCTAAAAGCGGCGTAAAACCAAACTCACTCACTCACTGACCCCTGGTGACATTAGGCTAATCAGATAATTGCAGGTAAAACCCAACATATTTTCTTACTCCGTTTGGTATATATTTTCCTTTGACAGTCTGCGGGAAAATCCTAATTTATCAACAATTACTTCGAGTAACTCGCCTCTTTCTTTTGGTGCACGGGAGTAATGCTTTATAAGGATGACGGTGTGGTGTCGCGACGCTTGACCAATTGTAATGAACATACGGTATTGCTAAATACTTATATTATATTCATCCAATCGCCAGTTGGGAATGCAAAATTCAAATAGGCAATTGTTTTAATACAAGATGCATTACATCCTGATGTACATTTGCTTATTCCAGCCTGTTTGAACGTAACGGCACTGAGAGAACAGTTTCTGATGCCTTCAAGTTTTGGAAGAGTTTCCATGACAACCAGAAGTTCCTGAGAGTTGATAACGCCCATGACGGCAGTGAGAAGACGATAGCCTCACACGCTGTCGCCAACGTTGCAACCCGGGAGGTGACGGTGCTCCTCCACAACTACGACAAGACACAAGCTACAGTCAACCTCATCTTCCCTAATAACTGGCTTAAACCAGCATCTGCCACTTCAACCTGCTTCTATCGGAAACTTCCCAACAACGTAGCAGTATTCCAGCCCAACAAGACCGTCCACATCAGTCACAATCAGATCCTTCTGGAACCGGAATCAAGCTGCTTCTACAGCTTCAAATCAGGCTATAATTTTGGGAATGCGCAGACGATAAATGAAGTTAAGTATTACGGGGCAGCGGTGGTCGTGCCGATCCAAAACAACACCGTAAACACCCAGGTTGGCATTCCGTACCTTGGCAACATCAAAATGGCGCGTCTTAGAGTTGCTGTTAGTGTCAAGGACAGGTCTTCCTCAACTAAACCCCGCACGGTTTCCATAAACGGCCATGTTCTGACGTCATTCCTGTTCCTGTCTGACGCAGCTAGCCAAGGTTTTGAAACGACGTTGTGGGAGGTGTACGAATATAACGTCCCTGTCGCTGCTTTGAAGGAACTTCACAACACTGTTGTGTTTACCTTTGGCCATGTTTCTGGTTATGTGTCAAGCGTCGCAATCATAGTTGGACGTTAAAACGTATATATATGATAACTGTGATTGCTTTCTTATGTCTTTTAAGCACAAAACTCGAAATACTGTTCTTTCTTCTAGACCGAAGAATGTCTAAACATTATAGATTGATTTAATTGAATAAATGTATATAACGGTTTAGTTACCCATTTGACAGAATTTCTTAACGCTGATGATGTAGAAGAGACGGAAATTCCGACAAATACAATTTATATGTATTATGGGCATTTTACATGATCACAGCAGCAGCCACTATTTGCATTGATGCACAGTTGGTATTCTTCATGCGGAACTATTGTGAGCGAGCAGTGGGGTTCGGGTGGCCAGGCACACTGACTTGTTTCACTCATGGCATCGCATCGCAATTGCGTATATCGATCCTCATGCAATTGATCACTGGATTGTCTGGTCCAGACTGGATGATATACAAACCGCCGCCATATATACTATTCCAAAAAAGAAACGCATAACCCAGAAATCTGTTGCGAAAATGTTGCATTTTCTACGAAAGGTAGCCTACTGGTTACATGTCTCAGGCAGGTAGAATGCATAAGCATTTTGAACCATCATCCTCGAAGATATAGTTGAAATCTCATTAAAGTCGGTTCTTTTATTTTGCGGGGCGGTGGGGTAGCCTAGTGGTTAAAGCGTTCGCTCGTCACGCCGAAGAGCCTGGTTCGATTCCTCACATGGGTACAATGTTTCTGGTATCCCCCACCGAGATGTTGCTGGAATATAGCTACAAGCAACTAAACTCATTCTTTTATAGTACGCCATGATTTGATAATTTTTGGACGATGAATATCAAATTAAAGGATGCATGGGTTCATGAGGCAATTCAGAAGCCAGTTTTCTAAAACGATTTGGCTTCATTTATTCACCGCGTTGATTCGGAAAATTGTAACAGAAACCAGACACAGAACACAAACATCCAATTGACGGTACGCTCTTGTGGCTTCTGATGCCACTGCGCCTAGGTGCGACAGGGTGATGAAAGTATCCACATTAAACGCCAGTAGAACAAGCGATTAAGTTCGTTTTCGAGATGCAGAAATCAGATATGAGAGAACAAATGCAGAACTTAATCGCAGAATTTAGACGCATCGAAGCGGACTGGCTTATGATGAATTTTAGCTGAAGAGGGAGTATGATTTTATGCCGCTTTCTGCAATATCCCAGCAGTATCACGACGGGGGGCACCAGAAATGGGCTTCACACCAAAGTGGGAAATCGAATCCGGGTCTACGGCGTGACTAGCGAACGCTTTAACCACTAGGCTACCCCACCGCCCCTTTAGCTGAAGAGATCACCTCCTGAGTTGTCCACAGATCTGTACTCACAGAGGTATTGTATGGGAGTGAAAGATCTGTTTATAACGAGACTGTTAAAAATCGGTACCCGTGATCTGATATGCAAGTGTATAAGGTAAGTGAAAACAAGAAATGTTGTCATTCGTGGGAGTGTTCTCTGTATGCCATGGGGATAGGATCTACTAGGATGCGCACGTCCGCGCTTGTCTATAGCTTGTGTTTCAATATACTGAATCTTATAGAAAGCTGAAAAAGAGTGAATGAGGTTTGCCCGTGGAAGAAAATTATTTCTGCATTTCTAGAATCTAGGTACAGCTTTTTCTGAGATGTCAAACTAAAAGAATTCATTGGCTTCTGAGAAGTTTCACCCCTCCAGGGTGTTAAAGAACTATCCTGCAGACCCTGGCGCTGAAACCTTGAACTTTAATAATTTAATCGTAATTGTCAGTTTTGTGTGCTCGTTTGGATATTCTTCCTCTTTCGTGTGATACCTTTTCGTCCATGCAAAGATATCGGCATGGAAAGAAATATCTCAAAGGGCCACGTGGATGGCGGAAACGGGTTTGTCTATGGTCAAAGGGAGATAATTACGTCCATATAAGAATTAACTCCCTTCTCTTGTCTCCGCACAGTGTCTCCTGTGAAACTCCGCACACGGCATGTGTCCTCAATCAAAGGGAGCTAATTGCGTATAGCAAACTAAGGGTTATGTCCCTTGTCCCAACGGGAGGTAATAGTAAACAGAAAGTACAGTTACTTCCCTTTGACCATCAACGACATGGAGGTTTTATAAGTTTCGTTCGTAGGTAACGGACCCGAATAAGAGAGAAACCGTCACTGGGCGGCACATTAAACCACACCCGTGTCCACCCACCATGTATTCAACAGACGAGAAAACCATTAAATTAGATCAGTGCAAGAAAACTTTTATCGAGTTGTCTGTCTTTACCGAAAAAGCTCCCTCCCACTGCGTGAAATCTCCATTCTACGTGAATTAACAATCAACTGCTCGAATGAATATTCTTCCCCAAAAAAGTGGAATGACATTGCAAACATCTTGTGGGAATCGACAGTGAATTTGTCCACCGTGAAAGGGAGGTTATCGCAGAGAGGTTCAGAGAACGCTGTTGGAAACAGATGATTATACTGACCGTAGATTTATACTCACTGTCGAACCGTTTCTTCAACATGCTGTCGAACGTCCGACTACGTCTAAATTCTTGCTGCAGACTTAAGTTAATTTTTTAAGTTTAGTTTTTGATGTGTGACGGAGAGTTTTTAAAACAATATCTTTTCCTGGCTGCATGTATTCAATAAACTGTATTTACTGAGCACCACAAAACCACTGCCAACAAACATTTCATTTATACATATTCCTGAACAAAGTATGTACATAAACATCACAGAGATATATATACATGTGATGCGACCTCAGCCTGGCAGTGGCACCAATAAGTGTCTGGGGGTTGCCAATAACAGTTAGACAGGTTTATTCGTATACATGTGGCCTAAAAGCCAATAGTACAACATGTGCACAATGATTTGGTATATTTGCAGTGCTACCTTGCCAGTGAAGTGTAAATATGTAAGCAAACAAAACAAGCGAGTGTTTGGGAGAACCTATAGGTTTCTGACATTATGCAGAAGATATTACTTTATGAGGAATATATGGTTTAACAACATACATGTACATGTATTTACAATAATAAGCTGCTAGATTGGTGTGTCGGAGTCGGAATGCGAGAATGTCGGATTAACGAGAGTAATTATCACTGTTTTAAATGGTTCCCTAATTTTTTGTCGGATTAACGTGATTGTCGGATTAACGAGTGTCGGATTAACGAGAGCTGACTGTAGATAGTTTAAATTCTCCATTCTCCATTCTTCAATATGAGAATTGTTTCCGGGAGCACATGGTGACGTCAATCTGCAATTCGTTCCAAATGTTTTTCCCAGAATTGTTTTTGAATGACCAGGGTGCTGTTGTACGAAGCAACCTTAGCGCTAGGGCCAGTCGTAAGTCTATGTTGAGGAATTGGAGTAAAGATCACCTTAGCGCTAAGATCACTCTGTACAACGGCACCCAGGCTGTCAACGTCATACGGACTGTGGTCTGTGCACTACGTAGGCATCAGCGACCCGTTGTCTGGTTTTCCAGAATTGCGCCCACCCTGCTGGCACAAGCCTACAAACACGTACACATCCAGTATGTCATCTTTCCCGCCGTTGTGCCCGGGTGTATGACATATAGAAATCGGTTGTTCAACCACTATTAATCTTGTGATGACTGATCCAATCATAACGGTCACATCCAGCTGTTTAGGAATCCAGAAATATCCTGAAATAGAATTGACAGTGACTCGATCTATCAATGAAAAGTACTGCCTGTGTAGAAATGTATAAACCACAGTCAGGAGAAACGGTGTACACGCTTTGTGGTGGAATGCTGTCGACTACAGCTCACACCAAGGACATTTGCAACCTGAGCTTAAATAGTCTGTCTTACAGTCCCCTGCTGCGTTAGCCCTCCCTGCAATGTTAAAGCCCTACATGAAGCAAGTCTAGATTTCCTCAGGTTCTGAATTTCCCATTAAATGGGTTTATTTGTTACTATCAAAATTATACATATTCAGAGACAAAGCGTCAGTCTAAGCATGCCCGTGTTTCTGTCGTATTCTTCGGTCGTTGAACGACGTCTTTGGTGCTGGGGAGAGGGGGGAGCCGGGCACAAGTGCCCACCCTTAGCCAAACACACAGGTTTTAAAGTATCTCGTTTACAGCGTACCCACGACTGCATCCTACTTACTCCGATCATCATGAACAAGGGATATACCAATCATTGTGTATCGGATTTACTGAGTGCTGATGCTATATTAATATCTTCTGGACTATATTCCTAGCAAACAAACGTAATGTATAAAGGTTTGCCATGAAAATCAACCAAAAGTTTACAATCTTTTTTAAAAAATTAGGTAAATAGGCCTAGAATGTAGGATTGTCTGAAAAATAGTCAAAATGTGAAAATTGTAGGGAAAGTGTCGAACTCCAGTGAAAATGGTACCAGTCAATTTGATGAAAAAGTTTGCTTGGCATTTGATCCGCATCTCTCTTACTGCCGATAGGTCCTCATATCTCTCTCACACCTGATAGATGTCCATATCTTTCTCTCAGGCACTTGTTAATCAAGAAAATCGTATTTAATTCCTATATGGTAAATAATATTTGGTAAAACCTTAACATCCAGGCAAATATGTGGCTCGATTACTACAGTTAATTTGTCATTGTATGACTCTATTGTGTAGTATATATATCATCATATATATAATACCAATCTCATTTTACTGTTTGTGCGTGCGTGTGCGTGCAACATTTTACTAATATATAATACCATTAGGTGGCATATTTTAGTAGATGCTGCTAACATGTCACTTTAAAAAGGAGTGTGTGTCGTTTTTGTACGCCGTGGTACCCAATAACATTCTCTTTTCATTTAGCAAATAAACAGACAACATGTAACCAGGGAGACTATATAACTGTAGATTATCCCTGATGTAACAAGTTCATTACGTGCGTATATTGTCATATTTTCTGTAGCATAACATGGCGGTCCGTTTATATACAGTTTAGTGTTTGTACAGTTCTTCACTGTTACTCAAATGCTGATTTCACATTTTCACTGAAATCTCAAAAAATCTTCGGAAAATTGAGGTCTTACTACATGCCGGCAATCAGAAAACTATTCTGCGAAAGACATGTTGTGCAGATTGATTGGTCAGGAGGTGTAACGCCTTCATCCAATCAGCAAAGTTTCTTGATAAACCGGTTTCGGTTTTCAGGTTTTACAGTCACTTCCTACTTCCGGTGTTGGACGTATCTGTCAGTGTTGTGGCTTCAGTGGATATTGGCCAGTGTACGGTCCACTGGATGACCGCACCTAGCACAAACATTAGCATGTTAATAAATCCAATCGATCTTCGTCCCAAAGATCATTAAACAATCAAAATGTCGTCAAAACTTATGTTCAGATGTTTTCTGCTGGCGTTTTTGTTCGGCTTTCTGGGGATGTTGATTCTTGGATATAAGGTACCGTGACATTAGTCCAGCATATAACTAGACGACTTTGCACTATACCAAGGTGTGCTCGATTTAGGCCTTGGCCGGAATACGAGTTTATTCATATGAACTACCGTGACATATGTCTTCACAGCGCATTCACTGATGGGAGTTTGTAGCATGAGGCATTTACCGGCGTCTTGCATTACTGTTTGCAGCCGACTTGTTAGGCATAACAGAGACCATATATCGGTATATGGTATCTGGGCATAAACGTGTACAAGAAAGAAAATGCTTGCTTTGACATTAAAGCAATTTAGAGTTATGATATTTCCGAGTGGGAAAATGTCCGTCACACCCTATATGTTTTACTTTAGAGTTTTATCTTAACAGGTGTAACTTTTAAAAACAAATGCCTGTTGCTTCAGAGTCAGTATTAGCAACCCATATATAGATACAAAGCAATAAACCCGTTTAATGAAGTTTTTAAGATGAGCCTATTTGCCGTGCATGAAACTGGATTTGGATCCTTCAAGCATCGCTAATTGAAATAGCTGTGTGCCAAGTGGTATATTTTACCACATGTCACTGCATAGTGGGTCAAGCTCAAGTTGCCAGCTTGAAGCTACAGTAAGCTGAAGTAGGACATCTGTACAAGTAAAACTGATTAATCGTTCATTTAATTGTATATCAACCTGTGTTACTGGTTTCAGATATTTTCAAGCAACGATGACCACCCAGTGTATTATGACAACTTCCTTGTGGATGTGAATGAAGGCAAGTATACGACTTACGTAAATAAGTCATGAATGTCCCCTTGTACGTTTGATTGTAAATGATGAGATGAAATTAGGTTTAATGTTGTATTTAGGATTATTACACTTATAATTCAATGTGGATGTTTTGTGGGTGTTGGTGAGAATGCTTGTATTAATATGGAATAATGATGGATTGATGGGTTTAACATGGACAACACAATCAGATACAATATACTGTTTCAGACCATTCTGTATTTTATTACCTCAATGCAGAGAGCAAAACCAATTACCAGTAATCCTATTTTATTAATCAGTCACAGACGTAACATGTACGCGAGATGGCCTATCGTCTCTTGTACGTGGGACGGTTCTTGCAGTTTTGAAGAAAGTAAACATGTTTCAACACAATAACAAACAGGTGTGTGTTTGTGTGTCTCCGAAGATGCATATATATTTTGATTCTTCAATGAATGAGCTTTCAGAATATACTAAATGTAAGTCTCTGAAAAATATGCTCATAGGTGAAATTCGCTATTAAGTATCGAGAAATTTTGCTTAAATTTTGCACATTTTTGTCAAAATTTGACTATTTAATTTTCTCTTTTTACATTATCATTCATGTCATTCAATAACTTGACACCTATCAATGACTGTAGCAAAGTTTGTTTAATTATTTTCATAAATAACACTTTTAGACGCGTTTGTGTGTTACATGCAGAATTTCCCTGTCAGTGATAAGGCAGTAACGCGAATGAGTGACCCCCTCTCAGGTAGTCACTTGTACTCGTAACGGTGGACCTCCTTGCGTACACGTTACGTCCTCTACTATTAATTATTGCTTCTTTTGGTATGACGTGGTGAGTGAGGATGGTTTTATGCAGCATTTAGCAATTTTCCAGCAATATCACACCAGAAATGGGCTTCACACATTGCACCCATGTGGGGAATCAAACCCAGGTCTTCGGTGTGACGATTGAATGCATTAACCACGAGGCTACCCCACCGCCCCTGGTATGATGGGACAGAATCACTGATCTTCCTCTTTCTGGTCAGACCAGTTCTCCTTGTTGCATTTTTCAGACAATGTGCACAGCTGTTGTTCAGACAGGACAAACTACACACAATGAGGACTAGAGAAATATGTTGTACCCTGTACTCTTAGACTAGTCTTAAATAACAAATTTCTAGGGCTGTATATGTCATATATTGCGACTTGAATGTCTTAAAATTCCAGAGTGTCTTGTGACACTAATGGTCATGATCCCCATTTAGTTTATGGAAGGGATCAACTTGGGGATGGGAGTAATCTAGTGGTTAAACCATTTACTAATGCATCAGCCCAAATGGCCAGTTTCCCAGTAAGAAACACTTTTATCATTTGTATCACTTCAGCCTGAAAAAGAGAAAATCAAACAAAACTCTAAATATATTGCTGTTTCTATAGTGGTATAAATTAGGTAGAAAAACTACATTTCATCAGTTCATTTAAACAGATCATCGACCACTAGATGAGGAGCTGGATGAAGAGAGCATCGTCTCCAGCATAAAGGAACCAATCATTTTATGGTGGACGCCATTCACTGGGGAGAAAGGAATCTACAAGACCTGTGGGAATGTGAAATGTTTCTTCACTGTCCGCCGGGGCGTACAGGAATCACCCGATGACATCAGTAAGTGACAGTAACAAGCAATATGTGTCTCACTTTGTTGATGTAGTGAACATTGTTGTGTGAGTTACCTCCCTTATATCAGATATTTTATCTCCATTCTGTTCGGTACCTTGGTCCCCCATTCAGTACCCAAGAACCCAGTCTAAGTAAACTTAGGCTCAGTATTATTCGTTACACTGCTATAATGAGCCTAACAAAACCTTGTAGAAGGTCGCGTCAGCCAATCTTTTGGACTGACCAATCAGAACACAGCTTACCAAAACGCGAAAGTTAACATTTGCACATACCGTTTGAACCTTTACCTCAAAAACGCGAATGATTCCGAATGCTATTTTCCGCACGATCGCTTCCGGTGATACACGCAATGAGTAAACAGTCGCTGAAAATAGCGTTTTTGTCAATATTCAAGGATGTCATCTTGCGAAAATATAAGCAAATAACAACCATGTCATTAGAAACCCATAAGCGTATATACTGCAGGTAAAATATATGTGTTTTATGCAGATTTTCGTTTGTTGATAGATCAGTGTCAGCGACCAGGGAAGATAAAATTCAAAAACGTTTTGTAAGTCCCACCGAACCCTAACAAGTAGTCGTTGTCTGATTCGTTACAGGGCTCAAAATCAATTAAGTACGACATAATATAAGATTTCAAGCGTATCGTGTACGCACATAAATACCTTTGTATGTCTAACATTAATTTACTTTGTATCGTGTAAATGGAAATCTATTTCGGATAAATACATGTCAAGTTTCTTTTGCGAAACACGATTTTACAAATGAGGAAACCCCGACAGTAGGAATCACTTGCATTGCCATGCAACGATATGCGTCACTATTTTTCGATTGGCTAAACACTACATTGTTCCTATTTATATCCAGTCGGACCTGACATTTCGCGCATTATACGGTCACTCAGTTATTTCTCACGCGTCTTCAAATACAAATACATGGTTGGAAATAGTGATCAATGAATCGTCCAGACAAACCACATCACCAACTCGCTCACACAAAAACATGTCAGCACTCCTTCAAAATTCTCAGTACACCTCCACTTGCAATATGATGTGTAAGTACACTCACACCCCCAAAAGTTATCTGGAGCCCTGGGTTAAATCCGTTCGGCCGTCTCGCATTTGATTGGACGGCCATAGGTCGCTCAAAGGTTAACTGACTCGACCTTCTACAAGGTTTTGTTAGACTCAGTATAGCAGTGTCACGAATAATACTGAGCCTAAGTTTACTCAGACTGCCAAGAACCTTTCACCGCCTTTGGTGGGGCTGGGGGCATTTATTGCATTTATCTTAGTCATCATCCTGATGCGTAACGTAACTTACCACAAAGATGGGACTTTTGTACTGCAATACTATCATCATGATATATTTCAAGCATTCTTTCATTGGGGAGTTGACAAATTAGTTGTCTTCTTCCATTTTGATCAATGATCAAAATGCATGCATTAATGACACATCATATCAAGCATGTTATGAATGAATAGTTTCTGATCTCTCATGATCAGCTGTGCCCTTTCTCTGTACCTACAGCCTATCGTGAGCTGTCACAAACCTATGATGTCAGGTTTCAAATCCTTGTCGCTAAATATGCTTCAACAGCACCATATCTGTGGTTGTAAACATCTAAGATCTGAAACTAACTCTCTCTCTCTCTCTCTCTCTCTCTCTCTCTCTCTCTCTCTCTCACACTCACACACACGCTCACACACACACACACACACACACTGTAACCAAAATGATCCACATGTAATAATTATGGAAGTATCTGTGCTTTGTAATCATTGACAACATATTTCAGGTGTTTGTCTTTTACGGAACGGACTTCAAGGTCACTGATCTCCCTCTACCTCGTAGCCCCAAACACGAGTGGGCGCTGCTTCATGAAGAATCTCCAAAGAACAACTATCTTTTCTCTCATCCAGAGATTATGACTTTATTCAACTATACCAGTACGTTTAAACGGGAATCAAGCTATCCAATCACAACACAGTATTTAGTTGGTATTGACTGGCTTGAAAACACACAGTATTTGATTCCTACTGGACAAAAAAACAAGCACCAGAAGGAATTAGCTCCCCTGATGTACGCCCACAGTGACTGTGATGTCCCATCTGACCGAGATCACTACGTGCAGATGCTGCAGAAATACATCAAGGTTGACTCCTATGGCACCTGTCTTCACAACAAGGATCTCCCAGACCAGTGAGTAATCTCCCTTAGACCAAGTAGTTGCATGCACTTACATGATTAGATCCACAATGCCGTTGTAGCACTTGCCACCAAGGATATGAATGATATGAGCAGCAAATCCTGTTGTCAAATTAGTTTTGAAAAGTAATGAAAACAAACAAATACATTTTAAGTAAAATCTACAATGTACAAGAAATTAGAAAATTACAGATTATCTGCCCATAATGAACTATTTTGAGTTTGAAACAGTCAACATTATTTCATAAAGGACTTATTATCCATAATTCCATGATGATATTACTAGTAAGTTATTCTGTTTCTATCTTTGTCTATACATAACCTATAGTCTTTGTTTCTACAAAAGAAGAGGAGTGAGTGAGTTTAGTTGAAGACCCGGGTTCGATTTCCCCACATGGTACAATGTGTGAAGCCCATTTCTGGTGTGCCCCGTCGTGATATTGCTGGAATATTGCTAAAATCGGCTTAAAACCATACTAACTAACTCACTTTTAAGATAGGCACGGGTTACTGAAGATCAATTATAACCCGGATCTTCACGGGTTAAAAGGAAAGGATTTCTGATCACAAGGGGGAGCATCAGCTGAGAGTCTTTTGGTTGATGATGACACATCACTGTTAGTGACGTCATGAACAACGGATGACCTCCTCTCCGCTATGACATCACTATTGTCCACTTATTAAAAGCTGAAACAAATATTATGAACTAACCAATCAGCATGAAGAACAAAATATGACACACAGTGAGGATTCTGACATTAATTCTGAGTGGGTTAGATCACTGACTTTATGTGCTGGTGATTCGATGTTTGACACTGAGAGTGTTGGTTCAAGTCCTGGATGGGAATCCACCCCTAAAAAGTACTTCTGTACTTGTGTAGAAAGTGAAATCCTAAATATTTAAATTTGTCACTGCAGCTACTACACAATGATTAAGTCACAGCTCGTAGTCAGTGTGTGAGTGAGTAAGGTTTTACGCCGCTTTCAGCAATATTCCAGCAATCACGGCAGCAGAAACCAGACATGGGCGTGACACATTGTACCCATGTGGGAAATCAAACCTGGGTCTTTGATGTGACGAGCAAAAGCTTTCACCACTGGGCTACCCACCACCCCATCACATCTGGCAACCAGCACATGTTGTACTGGAACAATCCTGACTCTGCATGACAGAGGTTAATGATGCCTGTAGTGAACGTTTCTGTGGAAAAGGGCATAACATGGGTTGATATTTTGTAAGTTGTGTCATTTTGACGCTTATCAGAACATTTGTTCTCTTGTAAAACCATGAGGAAATTACCGAGAGGGCAATTTGCTTTTAATTTGCAGACAGCTCTGTGTGTTTCTTCTCTCAGCTGTTGTATCCAGTGATTTGTTTAATACCTATCTATAGTATGGATCACACAAGTTTATTACAGGTAATGGCAATTTTATTATATGTTATGTCAGTTTAAGCGTATCAAGTCTAAACTTTGTTATGTGTTCCAGTTTAAAAGACCCAATCCAAGGCATGGATCACAAAGACTTTTACAAACTTATTGCCAAGTACAAGTTCTCACTGGCAATGGAAAATGGCGTCTGTGATGACTACATCACTGAGAAAGTATGGCGGCCGCTTATGGTGGGATCTTTACCTGTTGTCATGGGCTCTCCAAAAATAAAGGTAAATAAGCACAATACTATACTGAAGACTTTGGCAAGATTTTATATGTCGTTTTATACAATTTGAACCATAATGACACAGCATACCTGTCTCCCTTTGTCATATCTGTTTGCAATAGTGTTAATGTTTGTGCTAATTAAATAAAATCTACATAAAATCATGATAATGAATATATGTTCAAAGGAAATACAAACATTGTTTTTTTATAGTTAAAAGGACCTATGTCAGTACTTTGAGGTATCCGATTTTGGGGGGGGTTCGACAAGAATGACAATATTTACATAATAAGGAATATGCTGGGATGAAGCTTCTACTTCGAGTCAACCCTAAGTTTGACACAACAGTGTCTGATCGTACATGATTCTACTTGCTACTTCCAAAACTAGCGTACCAAAAATTACAGACCATTAGTCATGTTAGATTTACTGAGGAAAGAGAGGTTTTATGCAACAGCCAGTCACATGGTATATAGCATGTCCATGTGAAGAGTTGTTTCAGGAAACCATTCTGGTTGGATGTATGGACTGTTACCCATGACTTGTTACCCATGAGCACGTCATTATGCTCCTGGGTTCACCAAAGAATTAAACACAGCCTATGATTTGGGGGGCTTTTCGAATGCGATGATCTTGATAATATGACTGAAAACATTCCATGCTGAATTTCCATTTGACTCCCTCACTCATTTGCTCTTTTGCAGGAACTGCTACCGTCCAACCATTCAGCCATTATTGTGGACGATTTCTCCAGTGTAAAAGAGCTTGCAGACTACTTGAAATACCTCAATGAAAATGATGCAGAATATGAAAAATATTTCAAATGGAAGGAAACTGGTATCACCAACCCCTACCTGAAAAAATTAGTGGAGAAAAGAGAATGGGGGGTGGACAGTGAAGAACACTGGTCCCCTGCCACTATTAATTTCATTGATGGATTTGAATGCCATATTTGCAATGCTGTACATCAAAATCTTGATAAACAGCAGAGAGGGCAGGCACCATTTCCACATAGGGTGACAAATGATCATTATGGATGCCCGGCACCTTTAAAATTTGATGACAGTGGAAAGAGGACACACAATAAAGAAACGAACCGAATATGGCAATGGGATTGGTTTTATGGTGGACAGCTGGCCAAAGCTGTCCGAAGTTTTATTGATCAAAATATGACATTTACATCAGTGGATCTTAAAAACAAATTGAAAATTGTTTTGTAAAATATTCCTTTTCATTTGGGGGTGTTTTATTTTTTAAGATTTTTAGTCTAACTTTACATGGTATACAAACATTTTTGTTACAAAGTGCAATGATTAGTTTTCATGATTACAGTACATTGTGTTACGATGTGTCAGTGTCGGCTGCAACTATTCCATTGACAGATGGTAACTGAAAAGTGGAAAGGAGGTCAGAGCTTGTTGTTGGGGGAGTTCGACTTTTAAGATATCTTTGTTTGATTATTTTAAATATTTTCAGTTGTCATGGTATCATGGGATGTGAATTACTTAATTTTAAAATAATGTACAACATTTTCCTTTCATTTGGTTTTGGATGTATTCCATAAATGGACTGTGTTTACCTACAAGCTTATACTATACTGGAGAGAGTCTCAAGGTGATTACCGGTACAATAGGAAGTCTACAGTTAAACTACTTATGATCACTGTTTTGTTTCTTTACAGAATGTTGTATGCCAATATTACAAGTTATGGCTACTTCTTTCATGACACTCACCCAAAAGTCTCAAATTGTGTGACCCTTCATAGACAACATCTTATTGCTCATCATGATTTTAGGTTAACGGTAATAATTTCCAGAATATTATCTGTACTAGTCTATATCATCAGATTATAAGTTTAGCGGCAGTTTCTGGACAGAAGTGTTTACTCGCGCAAGAGGTTTTGGATCACTCAAACATAGTAAAACACAGATGGTGGCTTGATTTTAAGATATATCTGACTTTTATAAGCGAGTGAGATGTTTGACAGTTGTGTCTGTGTCAGGGAGAAGACAACAAATGTTTCCTAAGCATCCGAAAACCCACAATGCAAGGATACATCAAGACAAGCTCATGACAGATTTATTTCATAAGTTGCTTAAAAGTATTCTGCATTGGTTTCCTGAAAAGTCACACCCTGAAATACAAGTTGTCTCAAAAATGCATACGAAAGATAATCAAACTATGACCTACATACCTACAGAATACACCATAATTGTTTTTACACATGTTTATTTATTCAACTCCAGCATCTCGAGTCAGTTCAGTGTCAGTTATACCAAAAATGATAGCGGCCCAACCTCATTTACATCCTGCACAATTTTCCTCTCAACTACTTCAGTTAAGTTGTTAACAGACTTCCTGTTGACAGTTGTTTAAAAAACATGGTGACCTTGACATCAGAACGGAAAACGAAACCAAACTATCTTTTCTTTAATGTAAAATGGACATGATAAATATTGAATGTTATAGTTACACCAGGAAGAAAACCCTCGGTGACATTATTTAATTAGCAGTTCACCTTCATGGTAAATGTGGTACAGTGTATAAGTGTCTGTTTAGCAGACATGATAACTAGAGTGAGTGAAATTAGTTGTTACCGCTTTTAGCAATATTCCAGCAATATCACGATGGGGCACCAGAAATGGGCTTCACATACTGTACCCATTCGGGGAATCGAACCCGGGTCTTCGGCATGATCAGCGAACGCTTTAATCACCGGGCTACCCCACCGCTCCATGATAACTATAGAGGGCATGCTTACTACTAGGGGTGAAATGCTACAGCTAGATAACAATATGATAGAATAGAATAGAATAATACTTTAATGCCTTTTCGGGAATTTGTGTTACATCAGCAGAGCTACTGACACATTAGAGAGATACAAAACATATTTACATAAATTCATTGATTTAGGTATCTTCACATTTGTTTAAGAGAGATATGGTACTTGGAGTAAAGGATGTACAGGCTCTCTTAGTTTTCAGAGTTTGAACTTTGTAGCGGCGGCCTGAAGGGAGGAGGTTGTTTTCCGAATTTAAGTAGTGAGTACGGTCAGATATAATTTTGACAGCTTGATTCACGATTTGCCGCTCATGTATACTTATCAAGAGACATAGATCATGATATGTATCACAGTATTGATATTCACATCAATAAATATTTCACAGCAATTTCAAGAGGAAAAGCTAGCTGTAGGCTCACGTCCATAGTATTTGCTTGAAGTGAACGTGAGGTGGGATGGGGTGTTAATACTAAGTAGTAAGTAATTATTTTAGCAAGTATTATCCAGTATTAATACAGAAAAACACATATAATATTAGTTACACAGTGTTCTCAAGGATGTATGGGACTGTAAGATTCTTGTAAATTCTGTATTTCCTGAGGCGCAGTAGTTTGAAAGAGGTTGTTTGATAATAATGTGGCATCATGATTAGTGTCTGAAAACATTTTTGAACATTTTCTTAATCTATACCTGGATATGTTTTCAAGCAAGGTATAATTGGAGAAAACAAATGTAAGGATTAACAATATGTTTTTATTTTCTTTATTCTATGTGTTCAGCATGGCATTGACGACAGTGTCTGTTATATGTTTTGAAGGTTTGACCTCATTAAAGTATTTGCTATGGAGTATTTGGATGCATGGCTAGTTGAATCTGTCATTTCACCCCTAGTTTTCCAGCTGTTTACAAGTCTCATCCTTGGTCCATGGGAGGAGTGAGTGAGTGAGTGAGTATGGATTTACGCCTGTTTTAGCAATATTCCAGCAATATGATGGCGGGGACACAAGAAATGGTCTTTGGCGTCACGAGCTAGCACTTTAACCACTAGGCTATCCCACCATCCCTCCATGGGAGGAAATGTTTCCATGGTCATCATCAACACAAAATGTTGGTGAACTGCATAAATAGTTTGTCAGATGTACAATTATTTTTACAAAAATGTCTGAAACATCAGAATCTAATGTCATGGATGGTTGATTTGTCAATAATTGACAAAAATAAGTAGACAAAGATAAATACATATTGGCATAGACTAGGATACTCTTATTAATTTTTGTTTTCACAAGTATTACCGTTTAGTTATTATGTACAGTTTGTAGGTTTTATAGATTCTACTATTAAGGGCATACCCAGTATTTATCTAGTACACACCCTTATGTTTTCCTTTGCACTGAATACAATCAACACTGAAAACGTTTTACTTTGCATAAGGGAGTGAGTTACACAATATTTATCGTCACATACTTGGCTTAAACTGTGATATTAAATATTTGGTTGTGATCTCCAGCTTTTTGTTTCAAATGTTTTAAAGAGAATAATCAAGTGTTTCAATTCCCTGCTCATGAGTATGTATTGTTTATTAATCTTACATGTAAAACTTTAGGTAGAGAGAAGTGTGAATTTTACGGAGGCTGGTGGATGTTTTCCTTGTGTTTGTTTATGTATTGGATATGAAACACACATTTTTATGATTTACGTACCTGGGACCCTGCATTTGTAGGTTGAAATGTATAACTTGTTTTATCAGCAGCAGGTATCAAATTAACTGTTTTGTTTGATTGGCTCCTATATTTACCAGTATGTGTTCTACAGATTCTTCGCCACAGTGTAGGAATCAAAATATACTCTGACAGCATTCAGAGAATTTTCCACAGAATACCGATGTTTGTTACGTATACCAGGGGTCATATAGTCCCCAAAGCCCTGTTTGTTATTCATGCCATTAGAATATACCTGTAAGTCATATAGTCCCCAAAGCCCTGACTGTCTTTCGAATACTTTGTGATTCATGCCATTAGAATATAGGCAAAAGTCATATAGTCCCCAGAGCCCCAGCTGACTTCCTAATACTTCTTTAATTAACACATTCACATCCCTGAATGTTTTTTCTCTTGATCAGGGTATATGTTATATATCTGTAATATTAAACCTCTGGAATAGCAAATTGTCGTATCTGATGTTGATTTCTGTCTGCAACAGATTACTTCCACAGTCCATCCTATTTAAGTATGAGTTCTTCAACAATTAACAATTCTTCAAATATATACAAAAACCTGCACTCCTGGTTTGCCATTTCTGGGACAAAAATGTCACATGCCAATACTGAGCACCTGACATACTCTGTGTGTAATGTTTACACACACTGCTGGCCAGTATAGTGAAGCTGATTATGATTACATCAAGCTTTCTTCTCCTTTTAACAATGCACTTCCTTACAAAATGGTTTATCATGATTGTAAGATCACGACAAGAAATCTGTACACTTGATGTGTTAAGACATCCTTATGAATTAATGGTAGCCTCGTTAAAACCTCAAGTAAAAACGGTGAGTAAGTGAGTATGGTTTTACGCCGCTTTTAGCAATATTCCAGCAATATCAAGGCGGGGGACACCATAAATGGGCTTCAAACATTGTGCCCATGTGGGGAATCGAACCCGGGTCTTCGGCATGACGAGCGGATGCTTTAACCACTAGGCTACCCCACAGAAATTACTGGTATATACTGGTACTTTACGATCTGTCTGCTAGTATTTACATGTCTTCCTTATGCGTTCTTGTGATTGTTTTCAATCACTTCAACCAACCAATAAACCACTTGTACTATGGCACAGAGTACAGTTGATTGCTGCTTCTAAGGGGAGGTGTTTTTACCTGAAATGAGGGGGCTATGTCAATACCACCTGTATTGTTCAGTAATTCTTTACAGTCTAGTATCCACTAGTATTGCTTCCCTAGTCTCATATTCTCTTTTTGATATTCTCACAGCCATGTTCACTTTAGCTACATGTATATATACCCAACACAAAACATCATGGTTTATGGTTTTGTTTTGGCTTAGAATGCTGCTAAAATCCTGTGTCTTAATTTTTTATATGCTCTTTTCATGTATTGCATTACACTATTGGAATGTCTAAAATGTATTTGAAAATCCCATAAGGCCTATATGTCTTCCACATTAAGGGGAACACAAGTGAGAGTTGCCTGCCCTTGATTTAGAATCCTGAAAGTGAGAAGATAAACAGGATGTGAAAACTGACTCAAATGGGGTCAAGACATGTGGTACTTCCTTTATTTTAGTCTTTTGATCTGTTGTGATGATGGCTGGATACGAAACATGTGCGTGAAGGAAGTTTACTAGGACAGAGTAACTTTTATTTGTGCAGATGACTGAATTTGTGTAATAGATGGGAGCATGTGCTGCAATTCAACTTGTAAAGTGATGTCAAACAGGATTGGAATTTGACTTTCCATTTTTCTTGATAATTATCTTTAATTTGACAAACATTATATTCATTTCTCAAATATACTTCCCATCAAAAGTTTAGACTCACTTAAAGCACTCACTATATGTTATGTATATATATATGGTTACATCGAAGATTGATTTCTCCAATAACTTGGGGGAACCAACTGCAAACCTTATGCAGATGAATTGCACGAGGATCATGCATCAAATTGCTGAAAAGCATGTGCAGATATCGTGCATGTGAACAGCTGCGTTTTGGTGTAAAGTGCTGTTAAGAATTTGCCAATTTTCACTGATTTTTACTATTTATTGAACTCATGACAACAATCTTTTCAATGTTACGAATTTGTTTTACATCAGTTCATGTGTAAACAGTACCTTTAAACAGTATGGAGTATTTTGCAAAATATAGTTTAGAACAGTAACTGTTGTCTGAAGTAAGTGGTTATATTTACACTAGTGAGTCTAAACTTTTGATGGGAAGTATAGATACAGCAATCATTTAAGAATAATACAGTAAATATTTATGTGAACAACCCAGAGTTTGCCTGGAAGGCTCGATCATGTCAAGGGAGTTTAAGAGTTCATCCGTAATATTGTGGTGTCACAGCATTTCAGTTTGCTGCCATGTCCATCAGACAAACGTGGGATTTGTGGGAGTGTTATGGAAAAATTACTGATAACAATGTGTTCATATATGTGGGTGCAATTGATTATTTGAAAAAACATGAGTTCAGTATGGTTTTCGCCCCGAGTGAACTATCCTAGGAGAATATAATCAAAATCATTTGTTATATAGTTAGAATCTGTATCATTCATTTTGTGTAGGTAAAGTTTTGGGAGCGGTGTTATGTGTCCTTATGTTCATGTCCTATATTTAATGGTTGTCAGAAAGTGTGTTCTTATTTGATATTAACAGAAAAAGTTTAAGAACACTAGCCTAGTAGCAGTGTCACAGGACTTGAAATACTGTTGTGTAGGAAACTGACTTTAACCAAGTTATTTTCATGTTTCCTTATGGAACCATTTGCTATATTTCATTACAAATCTAAATCATTATTTAAACTTGACAATCTGTGAAAATAATTATCTTGGTTTGGGGTGTTTTTTCCATTTGATCTGGAGTTTCAATACAAAAAGAAATTGAATTGGTCTAGCCTAAGTTACAGAACAGTGCTTCAAGTCCCAGGTTGAACCTACATTCAGTGTGATAAGCGTACATTTCATTCCTTTGTGTGCAGAATGACAACAGTGAACATTTATTTGAAAGTATTTTTATATCATTTTAATAAAGAAAGTTTATACACACGATGACAAGTGTACTGTTTTTCTTCGTGTGCTATTTTCCTCACAGATCCTGTCACTCAGTGTGTCTGTTGTGGCCATGAAGATGGAAGGAACGTCATGGCCTTCCTGGGTTAATGTCACTTTGAACAGTGAACAGCATTCAGTTTTACCATGGCATGTCTGCTTAATGTTTTTGGGTAAGGTAAAGCCATGCAGGGTTTACTACTTTCACAAAGCTTATTATGTTAAACCAAGCACCATAATCATGAATTCAGACTTGTGTCTGGTGGATTCTGACACTCTCAGTGGATGCACTGAAGAGTGAAGACACTAAACAACTCAAAGAATTGGCCATCTTCCCCTTCAGTGCAAGATTGTGGTATATATGACAATATTTCAGTTACATCCTGGCAGCCACGATATAATAAAGTCTAGATCAACTCTTAAAATGGTGTTCAGCTACATTCTGGCAGCCAGGAAATGGTCCAGTCCAGACCAGCTATGTCCAGGCAGATAGGGTTGGTGGAGGTATGTTGTACAACTCAACACTCACAAGAGTTCAGCACCATTCTGGCAGCCAGGAAACGGTCCAGTCCAGACCAGCCATGTCCAGGCAGATAGGTTGGTGGAGGTATGTTGTACAACTCAACACTCACAAGAGTTCAGCACCATTCTGGCAGCCAGGAAATGGTCCAGTCCAGACCAGCTATGTCCAGGCAGATAGGGTTGGTGGAGGTATGTTGTACAACTCAACACTCACAAGAGTTCAGCTGCATTCTGGCAGCCAGGAAATGGTCCAGTCCAGCAATGTCCAGGCAGATAGGGTTGGTGGAGGTATGTTGTGGAACACACTCAGCAATATTTCAGCAACATCATTGTGGCCAGATCACCTTCACTTCAGCATCAAAGTAAGATATGACATTGCATTGCCAAAGATGATCTGCGCAATATTTTAATTGGCCAATCCATGTGATTTCAAAACGATAATTTCTTCTATACACAAGTTATTATTTGAAATGGGGCGGTGGCGTAGCCTAGTGGTTAAAGCATTGGCTCGTCATGCCGAAGACCCGGGTTCGAATCCCCACAAGGGTACAACGTGTGAAGCCCATTTCTGGTGTTCCCTGCCGTGATGTTGCTGGAATGTTGCTAAAAGCGACGTAAAACCAAACTCAGTCAGTCAGTCAGTATTATTTTAAATGGGCTGTACAGCCCACAACTAAGTGTCAAGAAACACTCCAACCACTGGATAAGATAAGGATTTGGTATTTTTTCTCTCTTTATTGTCAGCTTAGGGGAGATGGAGGAACATTACAGGCTAAGAAATGGCAGTAACAGAGTACAAATATTTCTGCAGAAATTTCAAAAGATTGTTGTCACCTCTAGAATTTTTAATATATGTTCAACACAACATATAACAAAGTCCAAGGTATCATTGTTTTTAAATTCTTGCTCTGATTACAGCTGATTTAATTACAAAAAGATTACTTTGATGTATCTGTAGTTGAACATACTGATGTTTAACATATGCAAACTTCAATACATAAACAGCTTTCCTATTTTTTTGTAGACATAAATCCTCACGACATCTACAAACAGAACAGAACTCAAACTTATTTTCAATATTCCAACTGTCAGCACAGCAGTTTGATCACCAAATCTTAATTTCCAACATACTGGTAACACTGACACTTTGTGAACACAGAACTCGGTTAATATCTTGACTCCAGTTATGTACAATTATCAATCATGTTCAAATGTTATATACATGTACATTCGTTTGTCCATCTTTAATCAAATAAATCACAGTCATAATAAAACTCTACAATATCTATGTATAATTATATACAAACAACACGAAGACATCGGCACAAGTTTAACATCAACATAATCAAACACACCTTTTTGATTAACCAGGCATGTTTATGATAGAACATTAAATGATATGAAAACATTTAACAACAGTGGTGTGGAACACGTCATATACCAAGGATGTTATCAATTCTAAAGGGACAAAACCATTTCTCTATACATTTGACATGGGTAACATGTTTTATGTGAGTGAATGAATTGTTCTTAATGTTGCTCTGAACAGTATTCCATTTATATCCCATCCTGTCGACTTACTGAGTGAAGCCCGAATTTGATGATTGGCTGGTTGTTGTTTAACACCACACTCAGCAATATTCCAGCTATATGGCGGCAGTCTGTAAATAATCCAGTCTGGACCTGACAATCCAGTGATC